GGAACTATTCACAAATTTAGTATTCAGATTACATACTCAGCCTGTTCAGCAGTTCTCCATGCAATGAATGCCCATACAACTATAGTAACAGACACAGATCTACAGTTTATGAGTTCTATGAGCTATCATGAATGTTGTGCTTCTTCATAAATTATATGTGTGTATCCTGTTTTAATAGGAATAAGTGTATACGCTTTTATTTTAGTGAAATACAAGTAGGTACAGCTGCATCTCTTTCAGAATAAATAGGAAATAGCCTATAGATATTTAGGGATGTTCATTATTTCCTTTTATACATCTTGTTTATTGATGCTGGTATATATAAAAATAAAACAGTGTTTTAGCATAATTATAAGAGGGAAGGGTATAAGATATGGATTAGTGCTCATACAGTTTTAGGTTGTCAAATCCAAATTAAGTGAATAATCGTCTATATTTTTCTTCTTCAAAGTTTGATACAGTTTGTCTTCAAAGTAGCCTATATGTAATAACTCACTGAAATGGTAGGTAAGGCTTTATAAAGTCTGTCTATCTGGTGCTGTATTCAGGGGAAGTGCTTGGAGTTATGAAACTCAACAGTTTGCTGTTGGCTTATTTGCAAAGTAACCAAAATAAAAATGTATCTGGAACTTTCATTGTGGTAACAAACGTGTTGTTAGAACCTAATAAACACAATTTAATGGATGATTCCTAGAGTTCCTTGGCCTTATTATAGCCAAATAGAAAAGGACCCTTACGGGATTTATCTGATTACATGTTCAGGAATAGTGTGGGTCATTTCTGTGTATAAAGAAACAAAAGCTTCTATTGGATTAATAGTCTCATAACATATCCATCGCTGAGGTATCTAAAAGTGCCCTAAGAAATTAATGAATATATTGTCACAACACCACTCTGTAATGGGGAAGTATTATTGTCCTTAATATACCTGGAATTTGTGGCGGAGATTGAAACTGAACCCAGAACTCCTGATTCCCCTGTTCAGTGCTCTAACCTCAAGATCATCAGAATTGCTTTAATGACTATCATTCCTTGGAGTGCCCAGGTCTCAAGTCCTGAGTTGAGGCTGAGTTGAATATTTCACTTGAAACACAGCCTGTGATTCCAGACAAGTATCATAATATAATTACTAGATTTTAAGGTTTTTGGTCCTGGAATTACTGAAACTAATTTTAAAGTTATTTCCTTCCCTCCCTCCAATTTTTCCTTTGGTTACATTGTACTTTTTCAAAACATGCTTAATATTTGAAAAATTATAGAGGAACCAAAATTAATAAAGTATAGTAAAAAATAAGAAAAGGCTAGATGAGCTGCATTCTGATTATTTTAATTATTTTAATATTATTTAATTCTGGCTAGCTATTCATCAAAATGGTTGACTGTTAGCAGAGATCATTGAAATTTTCAACTTTCAAAATTTTTATGAAAAATATCACCAAAAATGTTCATAAGGCAAAACATAAGAAAAAAAATTCCAATTATATTTTGATATTTCCATGTACTTTATGACCACCCTACAGAGCTGATCAAAGTTTTAAAAATGTTGATCAATTTTTAAATTTAGGAAAAAATAATACCAATGTTTACCATTTTTTTTTCTTTCTTGGTATTATTTTCCTCTGTTGAAGGGGCAGCAAAATCTTGTTCAGGCCAGGGAAATTGACTCCTTGTGTGGATAATATCCTCGAATAAGAGTTGTTATTATAAATTATTTCATAAGATCAGAACTTAATAGGTTACTCTTATTCTGAAATACGGTCTCTACAAGGATAGTTGTACCAGCATAGCTAAAAACAGGCATAATTTTGCCACTGTAATTCTGCCAGTCTATTTTCCCATGTAGACACGCCATGTTTAGTTGTTAGAGCATAGGCGTGGGAAATAAAAGATCATCTTTCTAGGCTCATTTTTTTTGGTACTACTGTATGTGGCCTTGGGCCAGTCACTTAACTTTCCTTCCTTCTCCTTCGCAACATGCAAATAATCAAGCCTATCTTGCTCACAGATGTTTTGCAATGTTTACTTAGCTAATAGGTCTTGAATGTTTGGGTTGTGTACAGAAATATATACTACCCTTATTACTGCCTTTGATTTCTGTAACCGTTAGTACATTTTTAATAATATCTTGACTGAGGAGCTGGACAACAAAATGCTTTATGGGGTACTTTGATATGGTGCAAAGTACCTCAGATACTGGACTTGGGTTTTACTTTATGGCTTATAATTTATGTATCTACCATTTTTTATTGAATATTTATGAATTAAAATAATAATGATAATCATCTTGATATAGACACCCAGCATGGGTGATTTGAGCTCAAACAATGAAGTCTGGCAAAGTTATCAGCAACTGATAATACAGTATGTCTAAATACATATTAGGTATTTATAGGCAAAGCTGGTAGTGCTGTCTATGGATAAGGTTGTTCAGCTTTGCTATAACACTGTATTTTCAGTTGCTTTTTGCCAAACTTTAATTGTTTAGGCTGAAATTCTCCAGGCTGGTTGTTTGCCTCAAGATGATCTATCTCTCTCTCTATATTTTTAATTTTAAATTCAGTTTTAAAAAGTCTCATTTGGAAGATTAGGAGAGAATACCTAGTTTTGCCAAGCCTTTTCTTTTAATCTTATAACTATTTTATTAAGAACTTCTAGTGTCTGTACCATTGAGCAGGGACTTAAAATGTGGTAGGGGAGTTCAAGGATGTGGTTTTTTTTCCTGTGCCCAGGAGAAACTGCCCGGGTTTGGTGAAGTTATGAGCTAGTGGGAAAAAATATCATTTTGCATGTGCACAGCTGATCCATGTTAAGTGTTTGGCAGCTGGATTCTGTGACAGTTCCATCTGCGCAGAGTATGCTTCATCCCAGAACTGCCAGGGTTGCAATTTCTGCTCCTGACAGCTATGGGCTGGTATGGCACCAGGCACCAAAACTCAGAGCAAAGAGACTGTCTCTCTCAGCTGGTCAGTATATATTTCCTGTTAGTGAGGCAGTGTGGCGGGGGAAGCTGATGGACTTAAGTGCAGAGAGGTCAAGAAGTAGACTGGAGTGGGGAGAAGGAGAGCAGTGGAGGGAAGAAATTGGGACAAGGAGCTTTACAGGGAGACTGTGAACTGGGGCAAAGGGAGTGGTGTTCAGAGCTTGGGGAAAAGACTGGGGTTGAGAGCTGGGAGGGAGTGTAGGGGAGGGGCATAGAAGACCAATGGGGGAAAAATGGGACTGGGAGGAGTGGGAACACAAAGCCACAGAGCATATTGGATCTAGGGAGCATAGAGGAAAAACCTAGGACTGCTACGACAAAGAACCTAGAATGGTGGAATGTAGGACCAGCTACCAGTGTGTCTGGGCTAAGGAGCCAGTAGTAGAGGTATAGGATGGTTGAGTCTGGCTTTCGGCAAACAGGCAGAAGGGCTTGGACCTCTAAAGTACACTTCTCAGCAGAACCTGGAAGGAACCCAAGGCTCCCAAATCCACAACCATGCAAACTCCATAAACACACAGCAGTACCCATGTGTTTGTGTAATATAGATATACATTATTTAAAACGCTAAAATAGAACAACGCTTTGCACACAGTACTTCCCCTTGGGAGAGGATTGGAGAACAAACACATGACAGAAGTTACTCACATCACTTCATGCACTACTAGAGGGCACTCTGCGATTATGGTGGTAATTGTGGGATGGGAACTTTAGTGGAATAAATAAAATTCTCTCACTATTCTCTACTCTCAGCAAACACCTGTGAAACCCACTGACAATGTTGTGTGCCTCATCCCCCTCTAGTGGTTGGTGAAAGGATGACATCCTACTACTTAAATTAGTGCCTTATTTTTTAAATGGCAGAGCCTTAATTTTAGTACTTGCTAACTTTTGAGGGTTCAAATGTTATGTATTTAATAATTTATAGTATCATTTGATACAATAAATAAGCGGTAGTTTGGAAGTAAGTCTGAATAGTTTCCCCCATCTCAATATTGTGTTAATCCTGCTGCCTAGTTGTATTGCACATATTCCTATATTTCACTAATTTAAAGCACACTAGAAGAAAAGGACTGTTCTTATTGGGCCCCAATCAAACTTAAATTAAAGACAATGGAATGACCCTATTGATCTCAGTGGACTCTGGATCAAATCCCATGTAAAGATCTTCACAGCGTATATCTCACTTTAAGATATTTTTGCATCATATTTGAATATTGTCTGCCTTGTGAATTGTCTTGGGAAAATGATATCCATCTCCCACAGCCAGTATTAGTCTCTATATCGGTGTATCTACAGCTGAACCAAAAGAAACACATTCATTCTCTTTTTCTACAAGGAGAAGCTTTTTCTAGCCTCTTGTTTTATATATGCAATGAATGCTCTTTTAGACAGTAGTAATAGCGGTAATAATAATAGTAATAATGATAATGGTAATACTAGTAATAGTAGTAATGGTAGTAGTAATAACAGGAATAATGGTAATAATAGTAATGGTAATAATCAGGGATCCTGGTGTTCTCTGATTTAAAAAAATCCCCAATTTTTGCTTACAAAGGTAACCCCAAATCCACATTTTTTCCATGATTTAAATGAAACGCCACCAATATATAGAGATATATATATATAGAGAGAGAGTTGTTTAATTTTAATCATGGGAAAATGTGGATTTGGGGTTACTTTTTTAACTGAAAATTGGGGATTTTTTAAATCGGAGAAAACCAGGATCCCTGGTAATAATGGTAATATGAACGATAGTAATAGCAATAATATAATAGTAATAGTAATTATTAGTAACAGTAATAGTGAGAACAGCAATAGTGATAATAGGAATAATGGCAATGGTAATAGTAATAATGGCAATATGAGTTATAATAATGGGATTAGTGGGAATAGTAATAATAATGGGAATGGTAATAATAGTAATGGTAATATGAATGATAATAATTGTAATAATGTTAATAGTACTCATAACGGGAATAAGAGGAATAGTAATAATAGTGATGGTAATAGCAATAGTGATAACAGTAGTAACGGTAATATGAATAATAGTAATATGGTAATGGGAATAACAGTAATCAGAGTGCTGGAACATTTCATGTTTTGCTTCCTCCCCCGTCTCCTGTCGCCCGTAATTAGGGCAGAGCCGGTCAGCAAAGTTCCCGAACTGACGAGCCCAGCGCAGCACAGGACTTTGACACCGCCTGCGACTGGCTGCGTGTCCCTGCTCCCAGAGCTCCTTTGTGCCGCTCAGCCAGGTGTGCGGCCGCACGGCCTGGGCAGCGGCCGCGCACTGACGTGACAGCCAGGCCCAGCGCCCCGCCGGGTGGGCGCCGAGCCGCGCCGGGGCTCGGCTCTGAGCAAGACACGTCGTCATCCGAGCCGGGCCGCCCTCGCGCCCCAGGCATCCGCGCTGCTTGGCAGGGCAGAAGGGAAGCGAGCAGGAAAGTTTAAAAATAGAAGTGCTGAATCATGACTCCGAGAGCCGGGGGGGGGCGGGGGGGCGGTTAAGTTCATTCAGGCAGCAAAGAAAGAAACGCAGCCCGGCTCCTTCCTCGGGCCGGGAGGCTGTAATGGCTCTCGGGAGCGGGCGGGAGGCCGTCATCCGCGCGCTCCGGCGCACCTCAACCTTGACAGCCTGTGCGGGGAGAGGGAGCGCGCGTGTGCGTGTGCCCGCGTGTGTGTGTGTGTGTGTGTGTCTGTGTGTGTGCGCGCGGCGGGGAGCGGCAGAAGCAGCACTTGTCCTGTAATCGATTGCCGAGCGCGCGGAGCGGCGCTGCCAGCGCACACAGGCGCACACACACATACACACACACACAGGCGCGCACGCACTCCCCGCGCCGCCTCTCCCGGCTCGGGGTGTCTGGGAGCGCGGCAGCCTGGGCGAGATGTGTGATGTGTGCGCGCCCGCCCGCCGGATCGGTTTCTCGGGGTTTGACCAGCTGTCCCAGGCTAGCCCTGCTCTCTGAAGATGGAGGAAGTAAAAACAGGATTACCCTTAGCTACAGATCCACTGCCTTAGTTTCCATAACCAACTGCAGTGCACAAACACACAGTCCTTGGGCAAGAGAGAGAGAGGCAGAGGCGACCCCAATAAAAACACAAACAAAAGGGTGATGGAAGTGATTCACTGCATGCACTGCTGAGGTAAATCTTCGCTTGGCTCTTTTTTTCTTCTTTTCTTTCTTTCTTGATTTTTTTTTTTCCTTGCAAGGGGGAGATCAGCTCTTGTCTGCTTCGTGCTGTGCTTCCTAAGCCGGCTGTCTCGGCGTGGGCATGGAGCTGCTTGGCAAAGCCGAGGGGTCGCCCAGGAAAGTGCAATTATGTAGCATCTTCGGAATGACTTGTTGCTATTAAGCCATAATAACAATAATAAATAGATGCGTCTGTGCACAGAGGCGCCTTTGGAGGTAGGGAAGAAGCCTGTTCATGTGGGCAAAGAAGGAGCGACTGGCTCTGAAGGGTATTGGGGTTTGGAAATGTCTGGGTGCCCCCTCGCACCCCCTACCCCCGTTCTCTTTTTAAGATCTGGTTTCTGGGATGTTAATCGATTAATCAGTTCTCACCTCTAGAAACTGCTGACAGGGGTTGGAATTGCAATTTGCAGGAGCCTCCTCTTCTAGCTGCAACTCCCCAGAAGAGAGATCCAGGTCCTTTATTTTTTTTAATTACTGGCATGACACTCACGGTATTTAAAAAAAAAAAAAGGCAGGACTTAAATTACTTTGACAGGTTCTGCTCTGGGAGGGGAGAGATGGAGACGAAATTGAGATCTCTCTCTTTTGCCAAGGGCCAAAAACAATCCTGTGAAGTTGGCCTAGGTTTCTTGCTCTCTGTGTCTGTGTGTGTTGTCTTTTATTTTTATTTTATCCCCCGTCTTGTTCCTCCCCACACTCCCCCCAATGCCAGATCCCCCCCTTTTCTCTCCTCTCCAGTTTTCTTGTCGATTCTTAAGGAACCGGTGGATCAAGTTTTTCTCTCTCCTGGTTAATCGCATTGCTGTAGCACTGGCTGACCTCTCTCCCTCCCTCCCTCCCTTCCTCCCTCTCTCTCTCTCTCTCTCTCTTTTTGTTCTTCATCTTCCTTGAAAGTATTTGCCATTCCTGAGTGAGTTTCCCAACAAGATCATCCCAGAGAGGGAGAAAGGCTTCTCCTGGCTCATTTCTCTTTAATTTCCCTACCGATCCTTTGCTCTGAATGTCCTACCTGTAAGTTTTGGGGGAGGGGACGTCTCTGGGGGTGGATTTTTTTCTTCTCTCCTTTTTGATCAAACTTTCCCCATCTTGCTGTACCTTCAGCACGAACGTAACTAGCTCTCCATTCCTCTGGGAAGCAAGGAGTAGCAGCTGGGGTCTGCCATCAAAACCTAGAAATGGTGATCAAACTTCTTCTTTTTCCCAACAACCAAAGAAATTTTTCCTTTTGTTATGTATGTTTCATTTTTTGCTTACTTCCTCCCCTTGCTTTCCTTCCAGTTCATTGGCTGGGATGTTCTTTCCCTGTTGCTCCTGACATTTCTTTCTTTTCCTCAATGAGTCTGTCTACCTGTACTAAGGGAAAGATAAGGTAATTTTGAAAAGGCTGTTGTCCATTTAGAAACTTTTGAGAGGGCACTTTTTAAAAAAACAGAACAAAAAGCTTTGTAAAAATCAGTAATTGAGAGAGTTTGATAGTAACTGTGTATGTTGAAATGTACGTGTTATGTACTGACTGTCTTGGAAATTTGATCTCTCTTATACAAAAAAGGAACACAGAGAAAAATATTTATTTATGTTTTTTGGGGGTGGGGGTGGTACAAGAGGGAGGGAAGTGGTTTTGGAGACAAGAAGTGAAGCTGCCTGTTTTCCAGTAAGTAAAGGAGAAATTCCAGGAGCCAGGGCTAAATATACTTGGCGATCAATACAGAAATGGCTCATTGTGAATAATTTAGCTGCCTGGTGCAGTGAGAGTTTTGAAACTAAAGGCAAAAAAGGGGCTGTAGAGGGAGAGGGGATATAACATTCTCTTCGGGTCATGTCAGTTTCTTAACTTTTCTACTTAAAAAGAATATAGTTATGATTATTGATTTTTTTTTTTTTTTTTTTTTTTTTTTTTT